TTATAATAAAATATATAATAAATTTATAATAAAATTGGATAATCACGTTGTTATGAATTACATAAGTTGATTAAAAATTAATGTCAGATGTACCTAATTTTTTAATAAGTTGCTAACGTTAGTAAAACAATATATAAACTATTATATTTTTGTTTACATTATTCATTTTTTATGTATTTTATATGTATTTTATACGTAAAATATCAATACTAATCATTTTTTGTAGAGATTATACACTTGATATATTTGTAACACAAAATATTGAGGAGAGTGCGTACCACTTAACCTATTTTATATTTTCCGTTTGGCACTGTTTTTTGCAAATGAATATTGTAGCTTGAGATATTAGATGCTTATTATTACATGTTAACTTTTCACCAATAACAAATTAATTTGCTATAAGTCTTTTTGTAACATACTGTACAAGGTACGATTTAGGCAATTGATCGCCTAATCGTACCTATAGGTATTTTTTATCGTATTCTTTTTTAAAGTATTGAATTTATGAATGAAAATAATTGAAAATATAAGATTAATAAAAGAAATCATTAACTAATATCTAAAAATTAATTAATACCTACCTAATATTAATAATTTATTGAAGAAAATCAAATATTTTATCATTATTAAATAACAACAATAAAAAGATAAATAATGTAATCAAAATAAAATTAGCTGAAATATATTTTTGACATTCGTATTGATATCAATTATTATTGTCAGTTATCAGTGTTACCTTGTTGATGGTATGATTTAGGAAACTTGAAGGATTTTGTAAAAATATCGATTTAATCTTTATAATAGTTGCAAATATATGAATATATATACAGTGAATATAAAATATTCTACAATAAATCTTCTTTTATAAAAATACAAAAATTTATAATAAAATTGGACAATCAGGTTGTTATCAATTACATAAATTGATTAAAAATTAATGTAATACTTAATTTTTTAATAACCTGTTAACGTTAGTAAAACAAGATATAGACTATTATATTTTTGTTTACATTATTCATTTTTTATGTATTTTATATTATTGCTACTAAATGTTGCCTATATTAAGTAATAATATAAAATATTGAGAGAAGTAAGATTTAGCCAACCAGCATTTGGCAACTCTCCCTTACAATTTAAAATTACATTAAAAATTAAAAATTATAATACTATATGAAGTGCTGAATAGTAGAAATTAAATACAAAATTTATTCACTGATCGTAAACGTGAAATGAAACCTATAAATTTGGAGAAAAACTGAAGAAAGAAGCACCCTAAAAATCGAATGTTCAATCTCTATAACTGCCTTTATCGTCACTCTATGATGACAATACGATTTTTCTATCACGCTGTTCATCCACGACATATTCCTCAAGTTGGCGAGTGATCGAACTTTTTCGTTTCGTGAGATTACTTGACTCGCGTTAACAGGTTTTTCGAGTCTCGTGACACGAACATTTCCGAAACAATATTACTTGTTAAGTGCTATACTAAACTCGCGCAACTTCTAATGGACGTCGTTGGAAGCGTTGCAAAGTTTTCTCGAAAGGAAAACGGTTCGAAAGGGGGCAGAAGGCATAAGCGAGAGGTGTATTTCCCGCGGAAAAGGAAGATCGGAGTCCGAAAGATAAGGAAGAAAGTTTCAGCGCCGCCGCATGCGATTCACTGTAAGGCTCTAGAGGAGCGTCGCTCGTTATATTGGTGTAATCTTCGGGGTCTTTAAAGCTTCGTCGAAAAGCACTTGCACTTTACGTGACGTGATTTGCCTATTCTCGATGTAAGAGCGTCGTTTATTGACATTCTCCCGCGTGGTTCCATCCGTGCACATCGCAGCCGACGGGTAATCTCTCGTGTAAACGGTGAAAAAGACGGCCCATTTCAAGTTTCGCTAATTGAATAGTCAAGACGCCATAATGTTTTTGGCAGAGTTACGATCCTCCTGAGAGAAACACTCATTGTCAGTTATAACAATACTTGTTCCACTGTATACTTAAGTTAATGTAATAAGAATACAAATTGCGAAAACTATCAACATTTTTTTTTCACTACACGGACAGAATTGTCACTTAAAATTTATTCTGAAAATATGATAGTTGTAGTACAATTTTAAAGATTTTTTTATTATGCACTTCAGTAAAATTAATCAAACTTATTATATATTTTATTGTAGTTTTATTAATGAATGAAAAAATTTACATAAAATTCTTCGAAATACAGTATTATTCCAGGACTATTATATTTTCAGAGTAAATTCTAAGAAAAAAATTCTCTCCGCTCTCTATATACTCAAGTTATAATCCTTTTAATAGATAAGTTTAACTTAGATGTAGTCACTTCATTTTTTATGTAAACGATTATTTGGGATGTACCCTAATTAAAATCATATTAAGCTTATTGTAAATTATTAATTGTTTTCCGATTTAATAGTTCATATTTGAGAATGTATTATGGATATTGATTTAATTATAATTTTTTGAAAAAATTAATTAGAATCCAGACAAATATTAAATGAAATATTATAAATATTATAAATACGTTAAATAGTTTAATATGATATTTCTAAAAAGTGAAAGTTTTAATGAACATAATGTTTTTTTGCGGATTTTTGATGGAATTGCACATTTAAAGGTTTGTAGAGAATAGTTATTAAAAAAATATGTTAAACATATCCATACAAAATAATATTTCACATTTCACATTTTTTCGTCGCTGGAGTATAAAAATATTAATTGTCGAATTAATCTGTGTTCTCTTTTAGCTTAATCCTTATATTATTTCCAGATATATATTATTTCCAGTATGTCTAACTATTCCTATTATTCTCATTAATAGGGTAGTAGACAAAAAATAATTATATGAGTATATGCCGCGGTCAAAAAAGAAAAAACTGGAGATATTCTCGCCATTTATCTTCAACGATTTTATCAAACTTCTTCCCTATTCTCGCTTAGAGCCAAGAAGTACGTCCGGGTTTTCTTCACCCGACAACGCCGATAACGATACATCAATATGCATGCGATAGAAGCTCCGGCGGCCTCGAGCGATAGAAGGATTGAATTATTCGTGACGTGGCGAGAGAAAGGAAACTTTGTAATAATAACGTAAAACGAGAGAAATAAGAATCCCGTCCGCCGAATAGAACTTTCTCTCTATCTCTCTCTCTCTTTCTCATTATTTCTCTCTCTTTCTCTCTCTCTCTCTTTCTTTTCTGCTCTCATTTACAC